CTACCTACCTGTGAGGATTGTTGCTGCCATGGCTTCCTGATGCCCTGTAGAGTTAAACAGGCAGGAGTCAGGGCCCCAGGGTCCTGCCCAGCCGCCCAGCTTTTGTGCCCAGTCAGAGGCGCCCCGAGTCTCTGGGCTGAGCAACCTCTCCAGACCACAAGCCCCCTCCCCTCCCAGGGACCTTGGCCTTGACCCTGCCCCTTGCTGGGCCTTAGTTTCCCTGAATGTACAGGGGGGATGGGGACTGGGGGTGGGTGGCTTGACTGGATGATGTCCACGGGGCTGCCAGCAGTTGACAGCCCCATCTTCAGAGGGACAGCTCCAAGACCAGGCTCTTATCTGCCAGGACAAATATTTGGGAAAGTTCTGATGAAAGGCCCGGGGCAGGAGGAGGGGCAGACTGCCTCCCACAGCCCACAGCGCACAACAGGAAATGGAGGCGGTGGGAAGGGAAGCGGGGGAGTCAGGGCTGTGGAATGTGGAGGGGCTGCACTCCCCCCCCCCACCAATGCCTGGTCCCCTTTACACAGCCCAGAGCATCAGGAGGAGGCCCCAGGGAGAGGGGCAGGGGGGGGTGGGCCCCCAGAGCAGCCATAGGGGACTCCTGGCTCCAAACTGCCCACCCCATCCCCAGTGTCCAGGTGGAAACGGAGGCTCTGCAGGCAGAAGGCTGCCGGAGGTGGAGGTCACAAGGCAGCGACTGTGCAGAGGGAGAGAGGGTCTGAGAGAGAAGAGGCATTGGAGAAGCACTCAGGATAGCGGGGGAAGGAGACAGACTCAGAGACCCTCAGAAAGAGAGTGTATGTTGGTCTCTCTGCCCCTGATGGCCCACAGTGGGTCCCAGACAACCTCCAAGAGCCAGGTGTGCCCAGGAGGCAGAGTGGATAGGTTACAGAGCCTGAATGTGAATGGTGAGCCTGTGGGGAGGCAACCAGGGAGCCGGCTGCAGTAGCTGCTGCCTCCCAGTGTTGCCCCCTCTGACCCCTGTCTGCATGCAGTCCAGAGCGGGAGTGGCCCCAGCATGGCTACTGTGCCCCTTGGCCTCAGTCGCCAGCTCCGATGGCTATGCATGTGCCCCCTGGCAGGGCCACCATAACCCTCAGTGCTGAGGCCTGGGGATGCCAGTCCAACCCTGCTCTGCCCCTACTTCAGACCTGCCTGCCTCAGGGGCCCCTCACTGCTCCTGTCCCCCTTCTGACTGACACTCAGACCCCCACCCCTTGATGCCCCTTAGAGCACCCTTACTACCATCCCTCCTGCCATCCAACCCTGCAGCTGGATGCCAGGAGGGGGCCGCCCCCAGGCGGAGCCTATAACCCCCACAGAGGCCCATCTGCTCCTAGATGGGTGCCCCCTCTCGCACCCCTCTTCCGGAAGAGATCTCAGCCAAGGAAAAGCATTAGACGCCCAAGGCTGGGGGAGGGGGCGCCTCAGCCTCCCTGGCTGGCCGCACTGTTTATTATTCTAGAGGAGGAATTTGGCCGGCTGGCCCAGAGACTCTGGGTCACTGCAAGTCCTGCAGTTGGGATGGGCCGGGCTCCGGGAGACTGGGCCCTCGGGGTGCCCAGCCCCTGGCCCTGGCTCCAGCCTGCCTCTGAGCCCCCGTTCTGGTCCTTGTTTAAAGAGTCCTGAGACTTTGAGCTCAGAGGGATCCTTCCTGAATGGGCAGCAGAGGCCCAGAGGGTGGTGGTAATGGTGGTTGGGTGGGTGGGGGGAGTGTGTGTGTGTGTGTGTGTGTGGTGTACAGACAAGACAGTGGAGCCCGGCAGAGTGCAAACCTTAGGGAACGTGTGTGTGGTGTAGAGACAAGACAGTGGAGCCCGGCAGAGTGCAAACCTTAGGGAACGTGTAGTCCAAACCCAAACCAAACTCCACTGCCATTGAGTCAATTGCAAGTCACTGGGAGCCTGTGGGATAGGGAAGTGTCCCTGTGGGTGTCTGCGACTGTAACTCTCCACGGGAGTAGACAGCCCTGCCTTTCTTCCTCTGAGCATGTCAACATCCCAGGGCGTGCGTTCCTGCTCCCTCCACTGATGCTTCTGACCTTGTCGGTCCCCATCAGCCCCACCAGTCTCCAGCCTCTGGGCCTGTTCCTCATCCATCCCTACAGCCATTCCTGTCCTGAATCCCTGCCTTTCTGGCATTCCTGCAACTGGAGTCATGTGAAAATCCATAAGCCCATTTCATCCCGTGGATGGAATTTCCCTCATCCCAGTCACAGCCTTGCTGTTTGGACGTTGGCAAGCTAGCTCCCTGCCTGGGCCTCATTTTGCACAATGAGGAGTTAGACAGCAGTCCTTCTGGGATGATGGAGGTGGCAGGGGACAGGGTAGCACAGGCAACAGGCCAGAGGCTGGCAGGACTGCAGTGGGGCTCAGAACGCACGGGCGTGGCCCGGAGTCCATCTCTTGACGACTCCCTGACACCCATGGGGGTCCCTCCATTGCCGGCTGCCCTCCTGTGATTCCAGGGGACTTGGGCATGATCGGCCTGCCTGAGACGACTCCCCTTCCTGGTGGGGAGGAGTGAGCTCTGGGGAGAAGCCTGCAGTGCATTCATAGCCAGGAGTCAGCCACCCCACCCTGAGAGGCCCTGGGAGCAGGGAGAAGGAGGAGCACCTCAGGGACTCCTTACTCTGTCCACCAGGTGAGTGCTGGGAGCCAGGAAGCCTACAAGTTCAGCCTCTCGTTTTGACCAGATTGGATGGGACAGAGGTCCAAAGATCGCAGAATTGCCCAAATCTCCCAGTGAGCCACAGGGACCCCTTGGAGAAGCAAAGTGGTAACCCCAAGTCTAGGGAAGGAACATTAGGACCCTAAATGCAGGGGATAGAGGGGGGACCCCAAGTCCAGGGGGATAGAGGGGGACCCTAAGTCCAGGGGGACAGATAGAGGTAGCCCAAGTCCAGGAAGTGAGGTAAGGACCCAAATCCAGGGGGATAGAGGGGTGACTCAAGTCCAGAGGGACAGAGGGTGACCCCAAGTCCAGGGGTACAGAGGGGAACCCAAATCCAGGGAGGCAAACATGCAGAGGTGTGATTCTCAGAGCCC